GTCATTGGGATCGGTGTGCTCGCTGCCAGCCGCAGATAGTTTGTAGCGCATATTGCATGGTTGCCAAAGGCACTCTTATGGAGTTTCTTTCTGTTAATTATTACTTGCTTTTTCGGATCTCCTGTAATTGATTTAACATGTACATATGAGCAGAGTGATACTAGCAATGGTAATAAGTTATAATGGTTATTTTTTATTACTGCAATTGATCCAGTTCATATCCATTTCTTATGAATTAAGTCCATAGGAAGTCCATTGCTTATTTTTTGGTTTGGATAACCAGTAGGCGTTTAAGAAAGGTTGGAGCGCGATACTATTCTTTTGACTTACCATACCAGGCGTAGCCGCGTACCGCACGGTAGCGGCGACCAGCTGCAGCACGCAGCCCGCCCGCAGTTGTGGAGTAGAATTCGTCGGGGAAGGTGTAGTGACCTTGACGCTCCAATTATGACTGAGCGCTCCAATTTCCCAAAAGCTCATGTTCTTTTATTTATACTATGGAATGCCACCATGTAATGGAATACAACACAGCTTGGAATTAGAACACTATTGAATATTGAACACTACTTAATTAGGCTTTTAATTAAGAGCTATTGAGCTTTTTATTAAGAAAATTTTAATTTTTGCACACAGCTTGGATTGAGCTGTGTGTGTCTCCAAGCTGTGTCAGAATTAGTTTTTATTATTTTATGAGTCTAAATTCATCTCTTAACTTAATCATCTATTAATTTTTTTACCACTTGAAATCAGCAAATACAAGTAATACCTAAAGGATTCCTAATATATTCACAGATGTATTTAAAAGTCTCAAACCATAATATTCTTTCTACACAAACAGTTTATCACTATTTGGTAGAGCAAGGTCAACTATCAACTTTGACACATTTTTCGACGTTCTCACTGGGTGACGCGCACTGTCTCTCTTTGGATCTCAACATTTTCCCGCCAGACGGCCCAGACCTAGTGTTTTGGTAATAGCATGGCGTGCAAAAGTATGACGTCAGTATTTCAACCATCAACGAATGCATGGAACTAAGAAAAAGCTTAACATAAAGGAAAAAAGTCGAGAAGTTTGGAATTGCCCACGATGTCAGAATATACTGCGTTTACCCTAACCAAACCCATAATGACAAAAGAGATTTTTAGAAACTATAGTTTACCTTTACTTTAAAATTTAAATTCCCTGATCTAGTTAAAATTTTCTTTGATATTTCTGTATAAAAATATTGGTTTTCATGATACTTAACTGATTTATTCAGTACCTGTAGCCTCATAGGATGATATTTGATATGCAGGGTGTGGAATTCTGCTTTGGTAATATATTCTCATGTTAACATAAGAAAATGTATCGAAAAACCAACCCTACCACATTACACCACCTTCCACTGCAGTGAAAATTGATGCACTGAGCTCATTAGAAACTGCCACGCTTCCGAAATTGCGCATGGTTTGAAATCCAATACTGTGATCAGTGTGATGGCAACGCCTTCCTCAATGTAATAGGATTACATTACATTACATAATAGGATTACTTCCTCAATGTAACAGTGTAATAGGATTATAAAAACACTTTTTTACTGAAAATTATTTCCTCTTTCCTTGGCTAGACATCCTTTGTTATCTAATTCATTAAGGTCTGGTTACCTTCAAGACAACACTCGCACACAAAATCAACGTCTTCTCCATTCTTCATAGCATCCCAATCAAAACAAATTTTGTTCATATGCTTTTTTGGCAAACAACTAATATGCATTTTTTTATCACAGTGATTGCAATCGATCCACCTAGACTTTGCTTTACTTTTGTTATCATTTGACCATGAATGATTGCAATCTACACACAACCAGTCATCATTCTCTTGGCCGTTTGCATTTTCAAGTAATTGTGATTGATACTTGCAAGCACTAATGACATTCAGGAGTGGTGTTGCTGGGGCCTTTCTCTTTTTATATACTTACTATTTTGGCTGGAGAATGAAGATATTTTTCTACTGGATTTGGAATAGTTAATGTTGCCAAGGTTTTAGATTTGATCCCAGAAGTTGAAGGCTGAGGCTCCTGAGGGGTAAAAGTGGCAGTAGTTGAAGGCTGTGGTTCCTTAGTGGTAGAAGTGGCAGTTATTGAAGGCTGTGGTGAAGAAGTGACAGAGGGAATGAAAAATGAAAAACAAAGATGCAGACGCAGTAGCAGAAGATGGAGCTCTTGAAGGAGGATCATTTGTTGGTACTGGTGAAATGGCAGGTGCCAAATATAAATGGCTCTTGTCCGTGACTGGACCTATTTCAATTGTTTCATCTGGAATGATTACTATTTGGGTATTCCAGAGTGAAGATGTAGCCAATTCAAAAATGTTCAAGTATTCATCTGCAGGAAGGTTGATGTTAATTAGGGATCCTCACTCTTAAGCAGCTTCATTAGCTGATGCAACTGAAGATTGATTGGGTCCAGCAGTACCATCTTCTCCTGCTCCTGCATTGACTGAAACGCAGCTCTCCTCATCATCTGGTTGTTGAGCAGCTTGCACAACTAACTCTTTGTACATGCCATGCCAGTCATCATTATCAAGCAGTTGTCCCTGCTTTAATATTTGTCTTTTCTCAGGTCCTAAGAGAGTGTAAATAGTAGAAAGAGAAATTTTGAGCTGCTCTTTTGATGGTCTTAATTGAACAGCAGGAGTACTAGGTTCACTACTGCTCTGCTGGACCTCTTCTTCATCTTCGTCAATGTCTAAACACTTTGTGTAATCAATTTGATCTTCATTCAGTGGGTACAGACTGCAAGCGCAAAAGACATTGATGATTGATTGCTTGGAAACCTGCTGCAAGACGTCATTGAGGAGTGGGGCAACATTTTTTCTCCTAATCACTGAGTTAGGATTCTCCCTCTGAAATTTTACAACTGCCTGCCTCAAGTACATCTTTAAAGGCACCACCACTCTCCTCCCATCTATAAGTCAAACCAAGCATGGAAAACATCTACCTTTGGGCCAGGACTAAAGCTTTCCTGCCATTTCTGGAACCGTGAGATTACCACCAGATGAATCATCTCCTATTTAATTGTTAACAAAAGTGCATGATCAGTTCACAAGATTATAAATGTATTAAAAATTTGTCACGTTTGAGCCACAAAATTTCAGAAACAAGTAGTAGTAAAATTCCAATACTGAGTCACACCATGCACAAATACTAAAAAATAAAACTCAGTACTCACTGCAGTGAGTGACAGAAAGTACATTTTCTCATCGACAAAAACATGAAGTCACAGACAGACAGATGGACGAACTGACAGACAGACACGGCAAGCACAATAGTGCATTTCATAAATGAGAAAGATTCTAGAGTTGCTAGGTAAGGTCTTTACAAACTAAATGAAATGTCTTTCAATGCTGTAAATCAAATACTGTAGGAGTGATAACACTTATAAAGTGAAAAAAAGGGAAATTCAAACATTTCAGAAGACCCAAAAAACTGTAAAGGTGTAAAGAGATTTTACCCGTGCAACTGGCACTGGATCCCCAGCTTTACCATTGCCTATCATCTTGTAACACACAAGATAACAAGGGGTATCATCAGTGCCACCTGACTCATTGTACTCCATGCAGCGCACAAATAATAAGGAAAGAGTGAGAGTGAAATGTTAAGAAATTCCCAGTGCTATACAAGGCATCGGGATTCCCTGAGGATTGCTTTTTCTTCTACATTGTAAAAATTGAGATGGCCTTTTTGGCTGATTTCATAACCTTTAACAATTGAGGCAATTGTACATCAAGAGCTTGAAGAGGTTGCCTTTCACATGCCTG